AAAAAGCAGAGTAAAATGTCACCACTTTTGCAGGATTGAATTCTACGTTTTATCTCCTCGTAATATGAAATATCCAGTGGATGTATACTCGACATTGTCACATCAAATAAGTGAATACTAAGATCATATAGTCAACGAATCTATCATGTAATGATGTAATTTTTAGCAAAAATAAGTTTATGCCGTGAGTTGTTATTCATCATTATCAGATTGTATTACAGTAAACAAGCGCATTACATGATGGAATTATATCCTAAGAATTAGAAAAATCAATAGTAATTGTGGTTGTTTCGAATTAGACCGTCAGTGAAATATAGTAAAAGGTTTAAAGCTAAGTGTAGTTCAATAAACCACCTTATGACGTAAAATGGTTGTAAACACTAGTCTCGAAAAACATCGTTTATGCTTTTTTGGTACGTTTTATTAGCTTATAGCTTGCTTAAGGAGTTTAAAGACTTAATTACCTAAAGTCGGCCACCTGAAGTTACATGCCGTTTGAAAGGAGATATAAAATACGACAACCATTTTGTTTAGTAAATTGTCTGTCGTAAAATTTATTTTAGTCAATACAATAATCGCACTTGCAATATTTAATGCGGCATATAAAATTAACAACTTGAGTCGCTTAATTATCGGCAGTGTACTTGAGCGTCAAATTTAAGAAACGATCAGTGTGAGATATTTCAGTGTAACTAGCTGCCGTAAGCTAAAGCTTAGAATTTCTGCACTACAGCAAAAATCAGGCATCTGTTTATAATACGTCATATTTGTTATATTTGATGGGCCTTTGAAATCTTAGCAGGCCCTGACCAAATTATCCGGCAGGTGGGTCTTAAGGTAACCCTCGTGCTATTGATAGAAGAAACCAGACAAGTAGTGAATATGTCATTATTTCGATCTTCGCGAAGTCACAGTGGAGCGTGAGATTATTTGTTCAGACAAACAAAGCCTCTCAAAAGTCAATACCAGATAATAGGAAATATAACGCCTATGCAAAATAAGGAAGTGAATGAATACTTGACCTGTACTGTTTCGGCATATGCTTGGTTGTTTGAGGTCAGTTCTTAACTAACCAACCTATGCCGTTACAGGTCACTGAATATCAAACTGATCATCGATCTCTATCAAGGCCAAGGATGACCAGTGCGCATCAGTTAATTGTTCGCCATGGACTGGCACATGCGGTGTTAATCTTAGTTTTGCTTGTATCAAATTCAACTAATATATCTCTATAATAACGTCCTTTGCGTTGTACAGTCTTCAAAGCATCTGTAGTACCACGTAAGGTGGTGACCTCAAGGGGTGAATTCGACGTTAGCTGGTTCGTCACACCATTCCCGTCTTACTTTAGTAGGCCCTCACTCATTCGACATAGATCATCTACGCTGGCGACCTACAAATTCCCTCTCTCCCTATCATCTCGCTAATTCATTTCCTTGATCAGCTACATGTAGCACAGTGGTGATATGTACCTGTAATAACACATTAACGTTTACTGAAAACGACAAACTGTAGCAAATCTCATGTAAGCATCCCTTAAATGAAAATACGGATCCAAAACAGTCCACATACAAATACGATAGAAATTCCTTGGATGCTACCGTTTTTGAGCATCATGTATAGTGTTTAATTTGAAAGAATGAGATAAATACGTCTGGTGTGCGATTGTAGACTATACGTCCGAGTTTGACTATATCTTAGGATCATAAATATTATATATTTTCCTAAGAGTTAACGTAAAAATCTGAGTATCCAACTAGCTGTTTTTGATCCCTGGAAAAGAGCAGCATACTGTTCTGGAAGAGAAATGTTCAATTTCTTAATTACATGTAACCTGCTGTGGATAAACATTGAAAGTTAACTTAAATATTGGCAACGCTATTTTATCAAACACCAAGTCCCCTAGTTTTTATTGCCGTTAAACGAGACAGATATACATTATGATACGTAAAGTGAAGCAAACAAATCAGCTGTTCAATACTGTATTTTGCATATACTATGCATTGTACAGATCGTAAGGGTGGTATAATCTATAACTGATGTGTGTGAAGCTGTTGTTAAACCAAAGTTGCATGAATTCTACTTTGCTTAAGGACATTTTATTTCATTTGTCTGTCTACTTATTCCACGTGCATATGTACGTGCACTTATTTATTTTCTTATTTGTAATATAAAAACGGTCAATTATTTTTTGTTGGTAATTCCATACTATTGACCAAAACTAGTACTATTTACTGGTGTAGAATGGAACAGGAGTGATTACCCAGAGTATTTCATCGATAAAATCATATTTTTGTCGAACGATTTACCGAAGACGTTAGTAAAAGCTTCTTATCCACAGTTCATAAAAGCAGGCTGAACGTACACTATGAACTTTGCGACGGTTTCTAATGTTTGTAATTTGCCTGTTTCACCCTTCAGTTTGAGAAAAAATAAGAGCCAAAACATGTCAGCATTGTCAATCTGAAAGTTGCAAATACAAAGCTGGTGTAAATGCTGATTTGATATACTTTTATTGATGAAAATGTATTCTTGTAATTTTGTAAGTCTGATTCTTCAAGGTAACTGTCGAAAGAAATCCATGAAATACGAGCTTCGTGGAAGCTAGTTCACTTGTAACAAGTGACACTCAATAGTAATATACTACTCATTTCAGTTCTTTTTGTGAAGAATCTGTAGAATTACGGTCTAATTCGTTATTAACATGCTCGGCTTCAAAGGTTGTGTGGTTAGGGTCCGATACCACTACAAACCTGCAAACATGGGGTCGCGTATAGATTTCTAAAGGAAACAGCTCGTTGAGCCCTTAGCATTCAAACAACCTACTCCGACAATCATGGTGCGCCACGGTAGCAGGTGGAAAGATATGCATAATACATATGCTACCAACCTCTTTCGATGAAGTTATCACCTTATTGAAATGCTCTGCACCTAATTTCACAGCTGCTAACTCGAGCACACCCTAACATGTGAGCAATGTCTACGATGGAGTACTAGTAAACTAAGGGCAGAGTACACTACAACGATCTACGCGTTCGTTTGGCTTCCAAGTGAACATACGTTGACAGTTCTATTAAACCTGTCTTTACTGTTGGTAAGTATGTTCTTGCCAAATACAATTTAGTAGTTTTGTTCTTCTAAAGCAGAACATATAACACTTTAGAAATTTGTGAAAAATGCTAATACACTAAATGCACAATGAGCGGTTAGCCGTTATTGATTACCTGAAATTTAGAACAGGAGTGTTAACTTAGCATGTGCATTCACTAGGAATGAAGTATATGTATGAAAAGAAGTAGTGATTGTCTAAGGAATGATGTTAGTTTTAAGCTGAATATTGTTAAAAACAGCAGCTTTTCAGGACGTAATAACGAATGAAATGGTATAAAAGTTTTCGAAATTCTAATTCAAAATGAGTCAAGCTGAAGTCTCTGGGTTGTCACACACTACGGTAACCTTGAGCCATTTTTTTGATTCACTACAAATGAACTTCTGTGACTAGGCAACTGAGACTTCTGCCGGATACGTTTTCACGAATGTATGATTGTGGACCATCTTAGATGAATATATTATGTGATAGGTAACATCCTACCGGTGTTCGATGTCCATGAAAGCTACTCAAAACAACACGGTTTAACGTTTTGTCACATGAAACACGTAAGAATCTCAGACGGAATACACTGACCTGCGTAGTACTACTGTTAGTAGTTGTGGTAGCAGCTATAGAAACCCAGAAATAGACGTATCCGAAAAAATTAACACACATTTGGGTCGTCACACGAATTACGAGACTTCCAAAGAGAGGTTTATGGGCTAATTTGGTTATTTGTTATAACAGATCTACAGCATGACATGTAAAACTGTTGTATAGACGGGATACCGAAATCCCACATATGGGGTGTTCAGTAAAAATAATTGAGGTCAGTATCAATATCAAAGACTTCTGATGACTCACTTGAGGCCGTCTTGGAAAAGAAAGAAATACTACAGTTGACTTTAACTAATTAATCTCTTGATGGACAGCATTAAAAGGTATCCCGTATACAGTCTTTTGGCGTCTGTATAATGAGCCACAACGTATGAAAACATGTGTGCTGGATCGTAAGTCAGGTTACATGAAGACATCGATCGAGTGTTGCAGAGTGGGACCAGTTTTATCTGAACTCATCGCATGTGTATCCCGACTGATTAAGTTGTGCAGAAGTATCGGCTCCCAACCACACGATCACTGAAGTTGAATACAAGATAACTGAGAACATTCACATCCAATATCTAACAGTGTAGTTTAGCAATGATGAAGGGGAGAATAATGTATTTGTATAGCATGTCTCAACTTTGCAGGCACGGTCATTCTGTGCAACGCATCCCAGTTCACATTAAATATATTTTTCTGTCTACAGCCCAAATAAGTTCCTCAGAAGTGCTGAACATCATACTGCTGATGATCACATGGAGCGAATCAGTAGAGACTGAAATTTTACTTCCGCGTAAGATCTCATAGATTAGATAGTCGCATCATGTTGAAACGGCAAGACTGCTAATTGAACTGAGTCATATAAGCAAAGGGATGCCACTTTGTGTACATCCAGTGGTTATAGACGTTTGATGAAATGTTCCGAAAAATTCAGACAAAGTAGCTGGAAGTCCCAAAGGTTAGAGATCAGGTACCTTATTTTATCAAAAAGTCTATTTATTGTTAATTTTTCCGCAAATAACACTTCTGCGTCGTGCGTTATCTAAACATTTGAAGGCAGGTACGATTGTTTGACTGACTAAATGTAGTATTATCACTTAGACGATTACGTGCATTAATTTAAAAGAACGAACAGTGACGTAGTAAAAACATTATCCCATCAGATTTTAGTTTCGACTAGCAGATTGTTCTAGTTCCATACTTGTATCATTTTTTTATTGTTGTCGATGGAATTCATTTCTAAATGTCAGTGCATCCTATGATCTTACTAAGTTATCGGCTAACATTTTCACTTTATTTTTTTCCAGATTTCTTTGAACATTGGTCCCTAAACTCCCCCAGCAAGTAAATTTTTCTCAAGTTAACCTAAAATATACAAAAGGTCAAACACTACAGAGTATGGTAAGTACTTATATATTTATTAATATCTTTAGAGTAAAACCGACCCATCATACTGCTTCTTGGTTGAATGGTTTGATGCGATATCATCTTTGATCAAAAGATTTCAACTGATATATCATACGAAGAGTTCTTCCGTGGAAATGGTAGTCATCATTGATTTCTTTATTTCTCCTGAAGCATGAAGAGAAAACTAATAGGCTTTTTCTTAAACCCACTAGGATTGAAGGGCTGAAACTTTTTGACTTTTATCTGGGCAGTACAGTCACTATACTTTCTCGCTCTCTTAAGATTATTGATTATGGAGATGAGTTCACCAAACGTGAATTTTTAGGTCGTTCAGAAAGGTAAATATTAACTTTTTTCATTATATTTGTTGCAAAGATGTGTTGTTTTTATCCCTTCGGCCTCTGTTTTCAGGGCTGGTGAAATAATCGCAATGATGGAAGACAAATCACTGCGAATCATTAATCTGAAAATGGTGCGTTTAATATCGGATGAATTAAAATCCATTTTAGATAGCAAAACGAGCCTTTCAAACATGACGTAAGTTTGATAATTTTTCTGAACAAACTTTATGATTAAAATATGCATTATTTTTTGTATAAAAGTAGTGTATACTTTTCAATCAGAATATATGTCATGATAAAACCATTTTCACCATAGTGTCAATTATTTACGATGACTAACCTTCTGTTAAAAATAAGACTTTGAAAGTGCCATACTTTTGTTACATGCAAATCATTACCATCTGTTTAAAAATATTTGTCAATAAAACCATGACTAACTGGAATAAAAACCAAGGTGTGGTAATTATTACAAAAAGTCTGTGTTGCATTATATGCGATATATTGAATATTACATGTCATTACATTGTATTGTATTACCCACTTTACTCTATTCGAATTACTTTGATGTTACTTCTTATTCTTATCTACTGGCTTATTATATTTTTTTATTTCAAGGATGCTACACTGCACTAGTAATATTGGTGTTTAAATATTATCAATTGAGTTGTTAGCAACAACTCTGAGAAATAAAGTAAATGTGATAGCTCTCAAAAATAAATGGATGTATGAACCTTAAATTGTTAGATAAGTTACACCAGCATTAACTGCTGAAATCATTGCTAACACTAACTAACGTTATCCTGCCAAAATAGAAAATAAGCTTTTACATTAAAACTAGGTTAATAATGTAATCCATTGGATTAACTCTTATTAGCTGAAAGGCTTAGTTTTCCGTTGGTACTATTTTGAATGGTTAATATGTTATACGTTTTTTCTGTATGATAGCATAAACCAATAACTTACTCAAACAGAGACATGGAAACAAAGTTGGACTTTACAAATCTATTTACTAGGTAAAGATGCTTTAGTTCACGGGATTACGAGAAATTAGTAACTGTGAAAACTTAGGCATGAAAACTATAATAACGAAAGTGATAAAAAGGTAGCATTATAGTCGTCAGCTACAAGTTTTTGGATACAATAGTGAAAAACTGAACTGATGTGAGCATTTAGATAAATCCAAAAAACATTCCAATTATACAATCCTCGATAGTATAGTGGTAAGTATCTCCGCCTGTCACGTGGAAGGCCCGGGTTCGATTCCCGGTCGGGGAGTCGGCTTTTAGCCCCCTGAATGCCCTTGCCCCCTGAATGCCCTGGTAAGCCCCCTGAATGCCCTGGTACGGCCGAGAGTGGGGAGAGTCCGTTCTCTCTCTCGAAATACTCTCACACGGCCACGCGTATACAGCCTCTGCCAGGGAAGTCCTACTCATTGCCTTCTCGTGGCGGGGGTGTTGTTTATGAAAATGAGAGGACGAAAAGCGAATGTCCGGCGCTTTAACCGGATTCCAAATCAATGGTGCACATGGGCTCCAGTATCCTGCGGGAACAAATGGCGTATGAACCAATCGATGGTCACCGGCTACCATGGGACTGCATCTCCTTACGATGCCCCACTGCCTTGTGGGTTAGACCTTTAGGTCAAAGGCTCGGGGAGTGGCCCCCTAAGATAACCACCTGCTTCGGTTTGGGCACCCGGGCAGTATCACAGCCCACACACAAATTGATGAACTCTTTATGCCTATGGAAATTACCTTTCTCGCTTTGAAAAACAAACAATTGATTCAGATTATCATTACAATTATTGTCATTATTAATACTATTATTATTATTACTACTATTATTGCCATTATTGCTATTATTATTATTATTATTATTATCCACATTATTCACCCTCTTTTATACTTATACAGCGGCTCGTCCTTGGTGGAAATTCGACTGTATCTAAACGTTCTCGAGTCACTGTCCGGTTGAAAATTGTATGTTACCACCGAATACGAGGACTGAAGCAGTTTTTCTGAAACCACGTGCACCATTCAAACTGGCTGCCTTCAACGTTCGCACATTTATGCAGGTCGGACAACAGATAGGGCTGGCTATGTCTTTGGAAAGTCTTAATATTGATGTTTGTTGTCTATCCGAGACCCGTATTCAAGACTCTGGCGAAGTACTACAAATTCGATCTCCATCTGTCGCTTCGAAAAGCTTGTTTTACGTGCGCTTATCCGGGGACCCTATGGCATCTTCATCTGGTCTTGCTGGCGTTGGTGTCGCACTGAGCGCTAGAGCTGAGGCAGCACTAGTCGACTGGATCCCCATTAACAGTCGGTTATGTGCTGTTAGATTAGAAAGTTCCATCAAAGTGAGAAGAAATCGGAGTGAGAAACGATGTCTTTTCGTCATCCCCGCCTATGCCCCGACAGATTGCAGCCCGGATGCAATCAAGGATGAATTCTACCACCAGTTATCTGTTCTTCTCCAGAAAGTGCGTCCGACAGATATTGTAGTACTAGCCGGAGACTTGAATGCTCAGGTCGGGGGTCTAGGCACAGAAGAGAGTCGTTTAGGTGGCCGATGAGGACTTGTTGGTCGCAGGTCAGATAACGGGGACCGTCTACTGCAACTTTCCACAGACCACAACCTGTTTCTGGCTAGCATTAACTTTCGGCATAGTCATCGCCGATGTGCCACCTGGCGTCCTCCCTCTGCATCTCAAGCCTGGACTCAGATTGATCACATCGTGATCAGCTACCGCTGGCGTGGTTGTATACAAGACTGCCGCTCCTTTTGGAGTACCTATCTGGACTCTAACCATGCATTGGTCTGCGCCAATCTTACCTTACTTTTCAGTGGACAACGAAGTGACGGCCACCAAAGGATTGATGTCAGCAATTTTTTTGCATTTCTGTTGCAAGTACGTATCGAACAGAGCTAGCTGCTAGGCTAGCTACCGTTCCACCGAAAAGTATAGATGAGCATTGGTTGCAATTGCATGACGCCATGAAAATGGCGAAAAAAGTCATTTGTGAGTTCGCGAAACGTCCCGCTTATAATCACTGGGTTTCTTCAGGCTCCTTACAACTAATCGAAGCCCGTCGGTCTACTCGGGTGACTGTGCGTTTGACCACAAACGACGACTGTTACGTAATGAAATTGGGCAAAGCTTGCGTAAGGACCGAGAAGCCTGGTGGTCGGAGCGTGCTTATGAACTGGAAGCAGCAGCTGCATCTGGTAACTGCCGGAAGCCCTTCCAACTCATTCGAGCCACTAGCAGCAAGAAGTCTGGTGTGAGTGAAACAATCTGCGAGGATGATGGGATGCCAATCACTAACATTCATCGACGTCTTGGACGATGGGCAGAATTTTTCGAAGGGGAGTTCAACTGGCCTGCTGCTCCGGCAACATCGGTCAGACTGTCCTGCCCTCCATGGCCGGTGACCACTGATCCACCAAACGAGGAGGAAGTGCGCAAGGAACTCCAACTCTTGAAGCGTAACAAATCACCTGGCCCAGATGACTTACCTCCGGCTCTTTTTAAAGATGGTGGTGACTTTTTGACTAAGGAATTGACGACGTTGTTTACAAATGTTTGGGAACTAGAGAGTGTACCAACGTCATGGAATGAGTCGATAGTTGTCCCTATCTTTAAAAAGGGTTCACGTCGTTCCTGTAACAACTATCGGGGATAAGTCTACTTGCGATTGCGTCCAAGCTATTGGCTTCCGTCATACTTCGTAGGTTGTTCAAAACCCGAGAAAGATTGACTCGCGAGGAGCAGGCTGGGTTTCGTTCGGGTCGAGGATGTATTGATCATATCTTCGCCCTTCGCCAAATGTTAGAACACCGCCATACTTATCAAAGGCCAACAATCGTAGTGCTGATTGACATCAGGGCTGCCTTCGATTCGTTGGATAGGACTGTTCTCTGAGATTGTCTATTGAAGAAGGGTGTGCCTGAGAAGTTTATTAACATCCTAAAAGCCCTATATACAAACACCTCAGGCAGAGTGAGGGCATACAACCACCTTTCTCCATTGTTCTATTCGAGTAGTGGGGTTAGGGAGAGTTGCCCAATCTCACCATTCCTCTTCAACTTTGCCATCGATGACATTCTGGAAACAGCTGTGATGGATGTAAGTAATGGTGGTGTGGATCTGTTGCCTGGAGAAAGACTTCTCGACCTTGAGTATGCTGATGATATTGTCTTACTGTGAGATAATGCCCAAGGCATGCAATCCGCACTTAATCAGTTGGCAATCAGTGTCCGTAGGTATGGTATGTGCTTTGCACCTTCGAAGTGCAAAGTACTTCTACAAGACTGGCAGGATTCTAATCCTGTACTCACCCTGGATGGTGAGCAGATAGACGTAGTCGAGAAGTTCGTGTATCTGGGTAGCTGCATAAGTGCTGGTGGGGGTGTGAGTGATGATACCAATGCACGAATAGTGAAAGCCAGAGTGGCTTATGCCAATCTGGGCCACCTTTGGCGCCTTCGTGATGTTAGTCTGGCTGTAAAAGGTCGGATCTACAACGCGTCGGTGAGAGCAGTTTTGCTCTATGCTTGTGAAACCTGGTCTCTCCGAGTTGAGGACGTTAGACGACTCTCTGTGTTTGATCATCGCTGTCTCCGAAGGATTGCTGACATTCAGTGGCAACACCAGGTCAGCAGTAATGCAGAGGTTCGGCATCGTGTGTTCGGGCACAGAGATGATAATTCAATTGGTGTCACCATCTTGAAACACCGACTTCGGTGGCTTGGACATGTTCTCCGAATGTCGTCTCAGAGAATTCCACGTCGTGCATTATTTGCCGACTCTGGGACTGGTTGGAAGAAGCGGAGAGGTGGTCAGTGCATGACATGGTGTCGTGGTATGAAAGAAAACTATGCAGGATTGGCTTCTGTCGGTCCTTCACAACTCCCTGGTTGGGGTCTGAGAGATGGTGTTACACAGTGGCTAGAGACGTTATCAGATATGGCTCAGAATAGAAGCCAGTGGCTATCCTGCTGTAACCTTCTTTTACTTTCTTCATAAAAAGTGATTGTGTCTCCTTTACCTGAAAGATTTCTTCTGATTGTACCTTTTCGTTCCGTCGTTACTAACACACTACCTTACTTCAATCTCTTCGTCATTGTTCTCCTTTTCTTTTGCGCTCCTTAGACTTTTTTTTTTCTTTTTTTTCTACTTCTCTTGAATTCTCATTGTTTTGTGTGGCGCATATATATTGGCGCTCTCTTGTACCAATATTTATGTGTTCAAATAAATAAATAAATAAATAATAATAAATTTGAAAACTTGAGTGCCTCGATTTACAAGTTGGATTTGAATATAGATTAATACATGATTATGTTTCTATCACTTTTAGGCAGTATATGTTAATAACTTGGAGTTTTTATTATTATTTACCATGTTGCTGTTTAAATATGTCCCAGTATTGATGCCATAAAAATCGGTTAATAAATGCTTGGTTGCCTCGTGTCTTCGTCAGTAACTCAAGTTTATTTACCTCAGTTATATTATCCGTAGTCTCTGAATAAATGTTGTGTTTAATAGCCAGAGGTATTATATGGCTATGTATAGTAAAGTAGAAGTGATACTCAAAACTGTCATCCAGTGCTCAAAATGAATTATTTAGTCTACTGTACAGCTGTCTCTAGTTCTTCGACACTCCCTAGGCTTCACAATTATGTACATAGTTGGATGAGACGCATAAACAAGTGCATTCTGATGAATAAAGTGAGTTGGTAGATTTCGAGGTCCACAGTAATCCCTATCTGTTTAAACAACTACTGACCTTTATGTCAAATGAAAGCACTTTTCAAAATGTTTGCTTTATTCAGTACACTATTAAGCGAACTGACTGGAAAGAATCTTATCGCCTTGGAAGTAATGGGTACAAATGTTTGCTCACTCCTACATGAATTTATTTATGGATCAAAAGAAACTAGCGAAAACATTTTATGCAATCCTGATTTATTCATGATCACATCAAATGTCGGTGACTCATTAAAACTAGCCCATAAAATATTTGGAAATCCTGGTGGACCAAATTTCCATGGAGCAGCATTACTAAAGAACACAACATTGTGCGTTATACGACCACACGCAGTATCTGACGGTAATTTAGTTTATTTTTTTACGTAAAGTTAATGTATTTTAAATCGCGGTGGAGAAGGAAACGTGGATCCCAGGAAAGGAGTTAGTTAAGAACTAACTAGATTGCAAATCACACTTTAATATGCACCTGGAGGACTGAAGGCCAAGTGTACATAATATGTAGATACTTTTTTCTTTCCCCACTACATTTCAGTTGCGAGTGATTAAACCATTCACAAGAAGACAAACACCTCTGAGCAAGGATAAGAAACAGTATTAAATATCCGTTTATACATCATTAAACTTTGAAAAACCAATGTTTGGAGTGACACTTTGTTTCAGCCCAAACTACTCACTATGAATCGTGAAGACTTGTTTTAGAGGATTTTACAGAAATATTTACACAATAAATAAGGAGTCAAATGTTTCTAAAGTTTTCTTGACATAAGTAAAAAATATTTCGGCGAGATATTTATGATTAAAACATGAACCTCTAAAGTACGTCAAGTAACTGTTGTTACATAAAACTTTGAAAGAGCGAACGCACACTTTGTCATACTGGTTTAAGGATTTTATTTCTAGATGTACACTACTAATGGAATCATATATAACCTTTGGATCAATCCATTCATGTGAAAGTTAAACTTATTTAGAGCTGAGTTGATTTATTTAATACCATTACTACGTATTCTGGTTTATTGTCTCGCAATTGAGCAAGTAAAAAAAATCAGTAATACATTTAAATGTGATTTTATACCACTTTAGTTTAATGCTCAGTATTTTCAGTCTTTAAATGCTTATTGTCAGTGTTTTACATTTTGGTGATTACAAAAACTGCATTGTATATTGTAGCTAACTCTTGTGAAGTTTAAATAATAATCCACAATTAAAAGAAAACATTCATCAGACATTATGTGTGGACCTAAATTCAATTTGACTGGTGAATAGCTAGGTTTCTTTTCAATTCAGAACTCTATCACAAACCGCAAGATAAATGACAAATTAATGTTCCATAAACCAGTCAATTTCAAGCGAAAAATGATAGGCTACGTTTCACGATTCATGCATGTAAACTCTTTGAATTCGTTCATGTTTACAACTTTACTAAGTGGTTGCAAATTCTATTCATGTTGTAGGTCTTACTGGGAAAATTTGGAGTTCAATTACAGAAAAAGGATTTAGTGTGACTGCAGCTAGTTTGCATCGTTTATCAAAAGCAGATTCAGCTGATTTTTTAGAGGTCTATAAAGGTGTAGTACAAGAATATCCAGAAATGTTGGATCATCTGTCTTCAGGGCCCTGTATAGCATTGGAAATTGATATTCCGGACCCCAATGTAGATGTCCATCAAGCTTTCCGCGAGTTTGCTGGACCAGTAGACCCAGTGAGTATTTTTTGCGAATATTATTTAGTGGATTTTTCTCATTGTTGATTAATAAATCCATTTATCACTTCTGTACTTTTTGACATCAATTATATGTGGTAGAATTAACAGTACATGACGCAACTCACTTATCGTTTCAGCTCTGCGTCTTTCAATTTGCTTCAGATAAAATTTTAGTCTATAACTTACATGTGTGTTCGTGCTTACCAATAATGATGGTTAAGATCTATTTTTGCCTCAAAGTAATTGACTTAATTCCTGACGAAAAAATAATTAATTAATAACACTATCACCAATTTCCTGAAATTGCAACTTATTAAAGTTCTAAATACATTTTTTCACTAACAGTTTATTATTTTTATGTCAAAAGCATGACTCAATGTTTTAATCACTTGAAGTTTGTTATAAAGGACTAAATATTTGGTGAAGAACGAGTCAACATGAGAAGGGAAGAAAAATATATCTCAAATCACAGATACCTAGAGTTATAAGTGAATCTTCCATAAAGGAAAGTCAGATAAAACAATCTATGAGATTGGAGGCAGCAATATGAATAGTTGACTTCAAGATAACTCACACTCTGTTGATTTCTAAAGCAACCCTATGATAATGAAACAAGTCTGGCTAATGGATATGGAATTTAGAATATACACTGTGACGAAACAAACAAGTTTTATTTCTCAATGAGAGCCTGATTGAACTTATGGACCATTCATATTTTAACTGTTTTGGATTTGTTTTCAGTAATTAGTTATGTATATGAACTGTCAAATCTACTCAAACGCTTGCAAATTTATTAATATTTAGTTTGTAGAAATGTTCATGATATCATTTACTTAGTGTTGACCTGAACTTCAGGGAAATCCCCAATTACTTAAAATCTACAGGTACGTATTGGTGGTGAGTTCCAACAAGCGTATAAACTAGGTTCTTGGTATTCCATCGAAATCTCTTTGGAAAGTTTATTTGTTGAAGTCGGTGTTTTTTTCAACAGGAAATTGCAAAGTACTTACGACCGGATACACTAAGAGCTAGATTTGGAGTTAATAAAGTCAAGAATGCTATTCATTGTACTGACTTACCTGAGGATACTGAACGTGAAGTAAATACGTTATTTTATTTCATGTCTCATACATATTGATATTTAATTATTGTGATTATCAAATATCCCTTCAATATTTTATGGTAGTGATACTACTATTAATAATAACACAAAAGTTTTATCTGTATAGGATGTGAAATTTCTGATACTATCGTGAAAAAATATACTAAACTCTTGTTTATTTTCATGTTCGTTGACTGTCAGTCGCTGACAAAGTAGCACCTAGCACAACTGTGCATCGGTTCAAACTCCAACACCTCAAGTCAGATATGTGTCAAAGGAAGGGAAACAATATCAACTGAAACGTTAGAAACCTGGTTCGAAAGAAATAAAATCAAGAAACAAAGTATGAAACGCCAGTAAAACTTAAGACTTCGGTCAAGAATGAATGCAACTACATTCGATTTTAAGCTATGCAATCTAACGACCCCAACAATAAATACGTTAGAACTTTTCGATTTCGTTCATTCATTAAACTGAGCTTAAAATGAAAATGTTTGGTAAATTGAGGTGGAAGAAACAAAACAGACTGATGAACCACACATAACTAATTATAATAATTATGATTATAAACGCATTTGGATAGTTATAAAAACTATTTTAAATCCCTTACTATTGAATAAGCATCAAAAGATGAGAAATGTGATTTAATAGGTTTACGATGATTCTGATGATATTCAAACTAGATCTCTTATGGTTGAAAATTCAGAAATAATCAACAACTATTTGACTGTTTTAGATTTCTCACTACTAAGCATATTCTTTTCTTATAACACTTAGATAAGAATATATAGTTTTGTATGCAAATTATTTCCCGATTTTGAAAGAAAATTTTACCAGTCGAATTCGGTGTACGATAGGTCTGCTACTTAAAGGGTTAATACTGACTTAGCATCCGCTTCTTAGATCTCCAGGCTTCTTCTACACTTGAGCCTCGAAAGTAAGAAAATAGGGAAAAGTGAGAATTGGAGCTTTACTCTCAGGTCCCTTAATGTACAAGAAACAGAACTATTTACAGGTTGTGTGTGTCAGACTTTTACCTATGGAAACTTCTGCTTGTATAATTAAATTAAATAAGAGAGTAAGTAATCAGCAAATTAGAATGTGATATTTATAATCCATTAGTTTTTTAGAAGTCTTCGTGGTATATGTTGACTGGAAGAAATGTTTTAACCATTTTCCTCGCTTCTGGAGACACTATCGGGAGATCCAAACAATACAATATGATCATTCAATCAATCATAAAAAGCTTAGAACTTGGCATATCTTAGCTCAAATTACCATACTTTATAAGTGCATTCACAACGAAATGACAGGATGAAAAGCAATAAGGACAAAATAATGAGTAATGTTATGAAAAAGATACTATAAACTAAGCTCAGGTAATATAGTTTAAAAATAGTTTGTTGCAATATTTTGCAATTTGTGCTGAAATTCCGCCAGTATATAGAATTCAATTAGAATTTCATGAATAATGGAAATAGACAAATTGTTCAAAATAAATCAAGTTTCAAAGAGGAGCATGCAAAAGAAGAAGGTAAAATGGAATAAGAATTATCAAAAGTAGAAGAATCATTTAAAATACCAAATTAGCAGTATAAACGGGAAAGATATATATATATATAGGGTCTATCGCAATGGATAGTTTTTAAGAATGATTAAGTATGCCTCAATCTACCTTTCACCAATACATAAAACGCGAGAAAACATTGAATAAAATTAGCAGATCATTTGAAATTACAGTGGGAAATTGATTTTAATGTTTTCTGGTCAAATGATCCATATTTCGTGATCAACCAATGTCAATATTATGTAGTCTGGATACCTACATATACAATTACATTTCTATAAATCTGTGATTTTATCAAACTAAATTCTATAATATTTTCTGAATTTCTTGCAGGTTAACTACTTTTTCAATAATCTGGATAAGTAAAAGAATGTTGAATATTTTTAAAAAAAGTGCATAACACTGTAGAATTTGTGTGAATCCCATAATATTGAAGTAATCATCTTCTTTTGTACATTTTTTTGTGTCGATCAAAACATGGACATCACATTTCAGATAATGATCAATTCCAAAGTAATAAATAATATTGTTTTCCTAACAAAATAATTAAGAATTTTTTTATCTATGCTTTTGTTATCTTAAGTAACTGAATTCATAATCTTCTTTTGCTCAATAAAACAAACATAAGAATAATTTTAGTATATCTGGTACGGAATAAACGCTGAAAAATAACCGACTAATTCATTGAAATATCTTAGAATTTACTGAGACATCAATACAGACAATTTTTCTCTTGACACTTTTTACAAAGAACTGAAAATAAATATATGAGTGCTAACGATGCCAATCACGGTACTGAGTGGAAAGTAGCTAGAACAACAAGAAACGAAGATCAAACGTGAAGATAAAGTGCGACTTTGTGATTATGCTCGATTTCTGGCCCATAAATACATCTTATGGATCTTATTTAGAAAGACTATGTTAAATGACATGGCTAGAATATATAGTTAGCCAAGTTCGGATTATCTATAATACTAACAATTCGATCGAAACTGAGTTCTGTAGGTACAGAAAAGAAGAAACCCAAATGAAAACAACCACTACTCAGAATAAAGATGTCTTATATCGTCAGTTATTTCAAATAAAATCTTTCCATATGTAACACCAGTATTCTTTTTATTGAGATCGTAAACTGATAAATTTTAGACCACTAATGAAAACCTGGAATCGTTGGACGGCCGTTTCATCCTGGTATAGGACTCCTCAGCAGTGCGCGTCCACGGTGGAACTCCACTCGTCACAGCTTCTGACTAGAACTCCGAGAACTACCTCTCGAAACTAGTCACCAGTGAGCACATTGTATATAAGGTTGTGGAGATTGTTGACTTCCTATTATCATAAACCGAATATTGATCGGTTCACAACCCTAAACAGAAAATGAGCATTCATACGATGGTCTCCAATAATTAAACTATAAAAAGATCAGTTTACTAAACACATGAAGACATTTTATATATGGAAGCAACATCATCTGTGGGTATATAAAGTATTCAATGCTAACGTTATAGAAAATTTTATCCAAAGGTGAGAGATTAGTAATTAGTATTAATACGTGAGATTGTGAAAAATGTACTGAACATTATATTTAAATTGAAACCGAAGCTTCTACTAAAAGTGAGAGTAAATGAACTTACAAGGATTTATCGACGTAAACACTGCTCCTCTAACTTAGTGAAAAGAATTTAGAAAGTGACTTAGCTTTAAAAATTGATCTAAAAATAGTTCACTTGTTTCTCATAAAAATAAAATTAGATTCATGTGATTTCATGAAAGGGGAGTGTATTAATCAGTAGTTTTATGTTCACAAGATTAGTATTTGATGGTTTATACAACTAAATTTCCTTCTATTTTGATTCACACCAAGATAACTTTAACGAACTCGAAAAATTGTAATGATATGGTCTGATGTCATAGAACATACAGTTACTAGGAATTTGTAGTAGGTCTTAATATCACCATAACTCGTAAGTCATGGCGCCTAAATTGATACCATATTATAACTAGTCTTTAAACCATAAATAATTCCTAGACTAAAATCGAAACAAGACAAGCTACACATGGGGGGGGGGGTGCAACGTGATAATCTGCATATATATACGAAAGGAATAAGGCTAACTAACACCCACCACACAACATTAAGATCTACCATTGTACTACATACTCGATCACATTTAGATCGACTGAATGACCTGCATCAACGATATGTTTATTTGTGACACAGCTACGAAATCTAAACAAAATTTACTATCCACTTCTTTAGGATGACTAAAAACCTTCCAAGAGAGAAAAACAATCCCTTCCCAAATACATCCAACCCAATTATCTCATATTATAACAATAAAAACATCTCCCAAATGACGCTTCAAAAAATGAAATGAGAGCTCTATGTTCATAAAAGGACAAAATAATTATGATCACCAAAACTAACAAAGAAATTACAACTGTTGTTAAACTAAAAGTTTTAGGTATGGATGGTAAACTTACTGATGAGGTAGTGAATTTCCATCGACTGACAGGTACAGGACATATATCACGTATGTCCATCAACCGACTACCTTGAAGCATAATGATGGCTTCTGTAGAAGAAAGTTATAAAGCTACTTGGTAGCCAAACCAAGGTATAGTATCACTCCATGAAGGTACAGAAGGTTGAACTGAGTTGTGTAAGTATATGTAGACTACTTGGTTGGGGGTTCACAAGATTATCGTAACCAGTGGTTAGAGTAGTCCGGGGACATACCCCAGAACCCTCAATAATGGTGCATAGGCACTCACTATTTCCCTTTTTTAGTTCCTCAGTTTCTAGATTAATTTAGAAATTTGTTTCAACTCCACTAATTCAAATTTTCCACCTGTACTATTACCACTAATAGTTATTACCTCAACTACTCTACGATTTGCCTTGATGTTATCATACTGTGTTAATAGGGTGTGAAGACTTATATCAAATGACATAAGTGTCAGGTTCTACGTTTCGTATGACCAACTGACTAAGGGGTAGTGATACAAGCAAACTGTCAAATATAAAGTATATGGGGGTGGGTTCGAACCTAGGGCCTAGTGTTTGAAAGTCGAGCCACCTCTATCTTTCAGATTGTGATTTAATTTTGATACACGTACCGTATATTGACGTTTATATCCACCGCAAAGCTTCCCAACTAGTAGACATGCTCACTCATTACGTAGTTCGAAATTCATTCTATTTGTACCAACATCAATCCATATCATTTGGTGAATGACACTCGCGCTTGAATAAAAACAGCAAGTAGCAGTTAATCTCTGAATGCCTCCTAGCGTGAGACACATTTAGTAAAACATTAAAACCTATTATGCGAATTTAGATAAAAATATAACTAAGAATTTATAGAAGGCGATTACGAAGAATAAACCGTTGTAATTAATTACATATATCACTATATGGTAAAATGCAAATAATTAGTAGTATTACTGTTATAAAAATTTGTCTTGAATGAAATTTTATACAAGCGAACAAATGTGTTCGGTCAAACAAGATGAGAATATTAATGTGTACATGGCAGCATAAGAAATTAATTTTTTCTGAAAAACAGACCACGAAATAAGCTGTCACGGCGGGAACTAGGAAGGGAATTTTGAGAATTTAACTCAGCGTCAATTTTTTCAGAGCCTATTTTCCTTGACTCTTTTGCTTTAACCATAATTGAAGATCTCTGAAACATTTGACTTACAGCACGAAGTTTCGGTTTTTTCTGCTTTTTACCATGCTTTCTAGAGCAACCTTCATCAACACCGCCAAGAAACGATCCGGATGGTGATCTGAATGAATGACGAACATCATCTGATGTACTGAAACCAAGATGACTTGCAGACTCCCAAACAGCACTACCGGCACGGCACTTAAGATTAGGAGTATTGCGGTTAGAAATAACATCAACTCGATTAACAGGATTATCCAGTGTAGAGAGACTGTCTAGACTTGTTAAACTAAGAAGAGAACTTCCAAGTTGAGAGAAAGGAACATCATCATCATCATTTAAATCAAGATCATCGAATGAATTTTGTCTGGATGAACGAGGTAGAAGACGTCGAATTGGTTTAGGTGTCATAGCTAAACGACTAGGAGGTAGCATAGCACGATTGAGCGCGGAATTTCCATGATTAATATTATTTAGATTGTTATTAGTACGCAAGGCTGTGTTTAGGAAGTTGCTTAATGATGTACAAGATGACTAAAAATACATAAAAAGAAACATCTTTTGATAAATTGATGAAAAGATAGTATGTAATCATGTTTTATTCATATTTCAAACATTAAAGATAGTCAACAAACCGAGCACAAAACAAACAACAAAGCGCTTGAAATAATATTATTTACCAGAAAACAGATTACAAGTTTGCGTAAAGAAATGTGATTAGAATCTAACAGCTAACATAGCGTGTTGGTAAGGCTTATCTATAACTCCGCCTGTAGCTCTCCTAGAGTTACTGCCGGCACCAAGCCCGGGTAAACGAGGGTCGGGCACGGGGTTAGCGGCCCCATCCCGACCGTTGTTGCTACCTTGACGTGGTGGTCAGGCTTGCCCATCGTGATGAAGCAACCGAGCTATACTGGCTGGAACAACCGTTCCTCAAGGTCCTAACATGTCAGACAGGTCGGTTGAAGAGCGGTAAGACTAAAAGCAACAAACCCAAGGTCCGAAGGCGAAGTCGTACTGCTGACTGTACAGAGGTGTGACAGCAGTAAGGTGTTTCCTTCAGACAACCAGCATGACAGCGATGCTGCCTTCCCACAAGGAGAGTGGTGGGGTTAGAAAAGGTCGACACTACAAATGCACACCTCGCCTTATCCCACGGATATCCGTCTCCGGCGGTAAATTCTCAACAAGTACGGAGCTAACACAAAAATTACCCATATAAAGGTCGTGTGTGATCGACCTCAAGCAGTTGTCCCTTGGGCACTGCGGTCACGCTCCCAGGTCACTATGACCACCTCTAATCCAATTTCCTTTTCAGGTACCTCCAGAACAACCCTTCCTCGGTGTGGGCAACTGGGAAGTGATAACCGCCCTCATACCTCTAACAGCACTCAAGACCACTGTAGTCATAATCAACCTCAGTCTTCACTTCCTATTATTGCTCCTACATCGACTTTCACCTTTAAACTTCCTTTTCCGGCTCCCCCTTCAAGTGTCACCACAGCCAACGATTCTAGTGCTCAAAACACTGGCCCAGGTCTACTGAAACCTCGCTCCAAACTACACATTGGAGCCTTCAACGTACGTACCTTATGTCAAATCGGTCAACAGGCTTCCTTGGCTAGAACCCTAGAATCTCGTACCATTGATGTATGCTGTGTCTCTGAAACACGCATACTGGATCCCAGTGTGGTCATTCACTTGACCTCACCTCGGCAACACGGAGAGCCAACAAGATACACCATCCGTGTATCTGGTGACGCGATGGCCAGCTCTCGTGGACTGGCAGGAGTAGGGATAGCACTAAGCATGAGGGTGGAACAAGCACTGTTAGAGTGGATCCCCGTTAACAGTCGTTTA